CTACCTCTGTCCTTCACCCCACTTGTGCTCTCTCATTGTGGTAAGTTGTTAACTTTTAGTTGAGAATATAAACCATAAGAAGCATGGTCAGTTGATACTGATGTTGACACATTGCCTATTTTAGGCCATGAGGAGCCTCTGACTTGTCAAAACCTTTAGGGTGTAGAGTTTTTGAGCAGTGTTGGAAAAAATAAAAGATAACCGTTGGCATCAACATTTTTTTTTTCCTTTTCAGACTCCTGCACTAAGGGCCATAGGAAATATCGTTACTGGGACAGATGAACAGACTCAGGTTGTAATAGATGCAGGAGCACTTGCTGTTTTTCCCAGCCTCCTAACGAACCCCAAAACTAATATTCAGAAGGAAGCTACGTGGACAATGTCAAACATTACAGCTGGTCGCCAGGACCAGATACAGCAAGTTGTGAATCATGGATTAGTCCCATTCCTCGTTGGTGTTCTCTCTAAGGTAATGAAGTCTTCGTACTTAACCAATGGATGTTAGTATTTATGGATGGACATTTGGTAGAGCTGTGCTTGATAAGATTCTTCATGTACCAGTGTTGGGTTCTAAGTCCTTCTCTAAATAGTGGCCAGTAACCTCTTTCACTTACAGTTGGATGGAATCAGTTAGTAGTTTAGTCCTTGTTTTTCTGTAACGGTACTTTTGGGATCTTATTTTTAACAATCGTTCTGAAGTAAACTTGTTTCCTTATGTTTATTAGGCAGACTTTAAGACACAAAAGGAAGCTGTCTGGGCTGTGACCAACTATACAAGTGGTGGGACAGTTGAACAGATTGTATACCTCGTTCATTGTGGCATAATAGAACCATTGATGAACCTCTTAACTGCAAAAGACACCAAAATTATTCTGGTTATTCTGGATGCCATTTCAAACATCTTTCAGGTAAGTCATAAGGTAGTGTTTGAATTTGGGCTTGATGGTAATTGATGATATTTAGACTCAGGGTAGGACAGCTAAGGTTACTCAGTAGGGCCACAGAATTAGAAAGGCTGTTTATGTGGGGCACACTCTCGGTAAGACGTGACAAGGGATTATAAGAGATTAAAGGAGCTGACAAGTGGGTGACCTGAATTGAAATCAAGTCCATATGTGGACAGGATTCAATCCTATCTATTTTGTCAAAAATCTTTAATTCTCCAATGTCATACTGAATTTTGGTACAATTAAATTTTGATGACTTAAAGTATCTAATTTTATTTTTCTTCTGGTTCCCTTCCTAATTAACCCGAGCATGCTAGCATGTGACACCTTGTCACAGTAGTTGAAGGTAGGTAGGTCCTACCTAATGACTTTAAACTTCTGTTATGGAAATTTTATCTAGAACAGTCGAGTCTAGGATAATGATGCTTGGTGTATCCATCACCCAGCATAAATAATTTGTCAACATTTGGCCTATTTTCCTACTCTCCCCTTACCTAAACCCTCTAAATTTAATTATTTTGAAGTATATAAGTTATTTCATCTGTAAATATTTATTCTAAAATTTGAAGACGGTAAAAAAGGCTAACCACAGTTTCATTTTTATACCTAGTAAATTCTTGATATCAGCAAGTAATCCAATCAGGGAAATTGGTTTTTATACACTTTAGGCCATCTTTGCCCTTATACGATGGTTCTCTACCTTGACTACACTTTGGTGTTATCTGAGGTGCTTTTTAAAAAAGATTTTATTTATTTGTTTACTCATTCATTCATTTATGAGACAGAGCCATGTGTTAAGGAGGGCAGGGAGGGTGGGAAAGGGAGAGAGAATCTCAGCAGCCTGAGTGCAGAGCCCAGTGTGGGGCTCAGTCCCACGACTCCTGAGAATCATGACGAGCTGAAACCAAGAGTCAGATGCTTAACTGACTGAGCCACCCAGGCGCCCCTCAGGTGCTTTTATAAAACAGTAATTTTCTGTTCTCATCATAGACCAATTGAACCTGGATATGGTGTCATTAAAGTTGCCCAGGTGATTTTGATGCACAGAAATAATTGAGAACTACTGTAAGATCTGGCTGAGTGCTACAGAAGTAGCTGCTAAGAGCAAATACAAATCTGATCACCTTGAATTTTTAGAAAATGTAAACTGAGCCTGGGTGGCTCAGTCAATTAAGCATCTGCCTTCAGCTCTGGTTGTGATCCCGGGACTCATGATCCCAGAGTGCTGGGATGGAGCCCCACATCAGGCTCCCTGCTCAGTGGGGAGTCTTCTTCTACCTCTGTCCTTCACCCCACTTGTGCTCTCTCTCTCTCTCAAATAAAATCTTAAAAAAAATGTAAACTGGAGATAAAACCATCTCATAGGGTTGTTGAAGGAACTTTTCGAGTGGTTGTCTGATATACATCAATACCCAAACATAAACATTATTTTCATTAAAATAGAACATTCATTAAATTCCAGTAAACTTGGAATTTGTTTTTTAGGCTGCTGAGAAACTAGGTGAAACTGAGAAACTTAGTATAATGATTGAAGAATGTGGAGGTTTGGACAAAATTGAATCTCTACAAAACCATGAAAATGAGTCTGTGTACAAAGCTTCATTAAACTTGATTGAGAAGTATTTCTCTGTAGAGGTGAGTAACATGGTAATGTTAACAAGAATTTGGAAAATACACAGCGTCAAGCCCCTAAGATTTTTTTTCCTTATACTTTTTAAATGAGCCCTGTGCCCTTGTTAAATATGGCAAAATATCAGTGTGAGTAGGACGTGAGGTATGTATTTGCTCCTCAGATGTTTGGCTTGATGATCATATAATCTTTAACCAGAAATTTTTAAAATTAAAAAAAAATCACCATTATACTTTCGAATGAATAGTCTTAGGGAATTAATATCTTGAGAGTAAGTTTGTGTAGGAGTTGATGGAGAAGTGGGCCAACCCTACTAACAGGCCATCTTCCTTCCCATTTCCTACTGAAAAGTGACAGGTGGGAAAGTAAATCTCTCTTGTGGTAGCATCCTTCACCCTTTCAGAATCTTCCTCTCCCAGGTGCTCTGGAATTAGCAAGTTTCAGCAGCTCTCCCTCCCCTATTTCAAATATTGAAATGCGGTTCAGCATTAAAGGTGTAATATGCAGATGAAGACCTTAAGAATAAATACAGACGTCTAGACAGACTGCTGCCTGGAAATGTGCTATATTTGTGGAATTATATTGTTTGGTTTTGTTTTTTAATACTTCCAGGAAGAGGAAGATCAGAATGTTGTGCCAGAAACTACCTCTGAAGGCTATACGTTCCAAGTTCAGGATGGCACTCCCGGGACTTTTAACTTTTAGATTGTACAGCTGAGGCAGAAAGTTGTTTGTTGTGTACTCTGTTTGGTAGAAGTTTGTCTTACTGTTTCTCTACTAAGAACTCTTTTTAAATGTGTTTTGTTACTGTAGCACTTTTTACAACAAAACTCTACTTGACCAGTTCCAAACTGTACAACCTGTATGAAGCTCCTCCTCAGTGGGTTTCTTATTTCTATGTAGAATCTCCTCTCTCGCAGTGTCCTGTAAATAAAGATTAAATTCCACTCTTTTCTTTACTTCACCGTTCCTATGTATTGCTTTCTAATTTGGAGTTCTTAAGATTGCAGGTGAAGGGTGCCGGACCCAAACCAATGTGAGTAACCAGAGGTGTGGTTCTGGTTGCAGACATGGTTTGATGTCAGGTTTGTGAGGTCATCAAGGATGCAAGGGTGATAATTTTTTGTCCTGCCCACTTCGGAGTTCTGGCCTAGCTCTAGGCTGCTTCCATTCTTTGTAAATCATGGCTGTTGGTGCTTCCAGATGTCATATCCACTACACACCAGTCAGAATAGAATTTTTCAGAAGTTTGCATAGAAAAATGAACAAAATTTCCCAGAAGCCCTCAGCCAGAGTCTCCTTAAATCTCACTGGCCAGGGAGACAGGATAAATACATACATATATATATATATATATAAGTTTAATCACAAGTCTCCTCGAGCTACAGTTAGAATTCATTCTTCCCAAACTTCAAGGCTGAACGTTTCAAAGGTGTATGTTGATTTACCCAAAAGTTCTGTTTAATTGGTAAGGGGTGGGGTCTAAGTATCTTTTTAAAATTTCATCCCCGTATGCTCTTTCTGTACAGTCCAGGTATAAAGCCACTAATCTAAGTTATAGTTATGCCATTAGCAGTATAGGAAATGGATTTGGGGGAGAGGGAGGGAGGGTTAACCAAAGTTCCCCACAAGTCTTAGGACAAATGAAATGCACCTTAAAAGCACTACTATCCATTTTTCTGTTGATGAGTGGGAAAGTAATGAGCCAAGCCTCCACTGCTGAAGTCGGACAGCTTTGCCTGCTTGTTTTCCCAAAGAAGTTCTAGAGCTGAGGTGGTGGAGGTGGGCATTTGGGTTGAAGACTAAAAGTGAGTTGGGGGGCGCCTGGGTGGCGTCTGCCTTTGGCTCGGGTCATGGTTCCAGCCCCGCGTCAGGCTCTCTGCTCGGTGGGAAGCCTGCTTCTCCCTCTCCCACTCCCCCTCCTTGTGTTCCCACTCTCGCTGTGTCTCTGTCAAAAAAAAAAAAATAGAGTTGGGACCACAGAGGGCTACTGTATTCCGGAAAATAAGCTAGTTTTGCAAGTCAGTAGTAGTATAATGCAACATTTCCGTTTACTTTGTCTCCATGGGAATAAACGTAAGGATATTCTTACCCCCTCAGCTCATCAGTCTGCACCTAAGTACATTTTGCCTTTTGTAGATAACAGGCTTTTAAAGTGGCCACTATGAGATATACATATTTAATGCTTATTTAGGTGCAGAAATAGAGAACACTTTGGCTAATGCTTATTTAAAACACCTCCTGCAGCCAAATTTTTAATTTGGAATACCGAGCTATGTTACACCTGGTCCTCCCGAGCTCAGGGTGTCTTGTTGGGAGCCCTGGTCATTTTCTCGGCTTGTTGTATACAAAGGCTTCCACAAAGGGGAGGCAGAAGTCACAGAACTGCACAGACTGCCCTTCCTGTCCCACCTACTTACTGCACTGCCCTTTTTTCCTACCCTTGCTCCAAGGTAAGTCTCCTAGATGCCGGACCCCGACATCGTGAATGTGAGAAAAGAGAACATGGAAGTAAACCTGGAGACCAGAGGTTTTTGTTGTAGGAGAGGTGGGCTTAGTGGGCTGAGGGACCAGTGGAATACATGCTGGTAAGAAGCGTAAGGTCTGTCGTTTTCAGAGGGAAAGCGTGACCCAGTAGTGAAGTAATGGATAGGAGACAGCTGATGACCAGAAATACATTTTCGTATCTTAGATAACATTTTTAGCATGCTGGTTTCCTATACAGCCACCAACCTTTTCCTCGTTCCAAAGTGTTAATGTCTAAATAGCTTTTATTAATGCACATTTTGTAGCTCCTATCAGTTTTAGATCCCTTTTAAAACTTTAATAAATTCCCTTTGCCCCTAACTTTCAGTTTTGTATTAGTTTGTAGTAGTAGGTAAGTAGGGGTGGGAAGGTAACACTTAAATTTTTTTTTTTTTTTTTTTTTAAGATTTTATTTTTTTGTCAGAGAAAGCACAAGCAGGGGGAGCGGCAGGCAGAGCAGGTAGAGGGAGAAGCAGGCTCTCTGCCAAGCAAGGAGCCCGATGTGGGACTCGATCCCAGAACTCAGGTTCTGGGATCTTGACCTGAGCCGAAGGCAGACGCTTAAGCAACTGAGCCACCCAGGTGTCCCGTAACACTTAAATTTTTATGAGGCAAATATCAAAGGAAAATCAAGCACTTGTGCTTGTGGCAAAAATCCTTAGAGTTAAGCTATGGTTAGAGGTTGAACATCAGTGTTAAAACACTGCACGAAGTGTTGATTCTTTACCTTACTAATTGTATCAGCTTTAAATCCTATTAAGCTACTGTTTTTGGAATAAAGTAGGACATTCCGTTTCTTAAGGTTGTTGGATTATTCCTTCACCCCGAATCTTTCTGTGGCTGCATCATCACTGAAAAGATAAAAACTGGGTAATTTCGTTATAGTAGCTCTTCGGTGTTAAGGGGGATTTTGCTTCAGCATTTGGCCTCGAATTGCTTTTTTTTGAGCTTCCAAGAACCAGGTCAATTAAAACCAAAATGGTGTTCACCAAAGGGGTATGTTCCTTTTTATCTTACCAATAGTTCTAGGAGCAAAATCTTCAGTTTGTTGGGCAGTCGGAACCCTTGTGAGGTTACAGTACCCCAAGTTCGGAAGGCCATGAAGAAAAGTGAAGCTGGCCCCTCCTTGCCTCCCTCCACCCTGCTGGAGCTTGCCAAAACCCAGCTGGCTGAATTTGGAAAGCCCTCGAAACATGTCATTAATGGTGCTTTCTTTTGAGATTGGGCTGTTGACCTAATTTGGGATGAACAAAACCTGGCCAAATCCTGTAGCGCCCTTCTCCCCCAAGGGAACGTGTAGTGAAAAGTGTTTAGCAACATCACGGAGTTAAGTCTCACAACCTCAGCTAATAAAGATGATAAAAAACACTCAAGCTATTAAATAGGGTTTTGTTTATTTTTTTTTTTGAGGGCAGAAGAGCAATTTAATTTTGAGCATTTGTATGTTAAATGGCATGTTGCTGGCATAGTTTGAAAGCATTATTCTGGTGTCTTATAAACGCCTCTTTCCTCCTAAATATTTGGGACAGTTTCCTAACGCTGTGTAGGAGTTGTATGCGTCAAACCCTTTCCTATTGATCAGTTGTGCATTCCACCCAGGCTTTTCACAACCGGGAATGCCCTTCCCCATCCTAGTTTTGGGATTTGCAGTGGAAAGGACTAGGCATTAGGAGTCAGCTCTGCCTGAGTTCAAATGCTGCCTCTTCTGTATGTTCTGAGTGACCTGTGGGTCATCAAAATAGCACAATCCCTAGTATAAATTAAGTTCTCTACAGATAGTAAATACTATATTAGTAGTGATATCTCAGTATTCTAGCCACAGGACAGATTTTAGTTTCTAGGCTAAGTTTACTATTACTCTTTTTTAAGATTTTATTTTATTTAAAATTTTTTTTAAAGATTTTATTTATTTATTTGAGAGAGAGAGAGAATGAGACATAGCACAAGAGGGAAGAGGGTCAGAGGGAGAAGCAGACTCCCTGCTGAGCAGGGAGCCCGATGTGGGACTCGATCCCGGGACTCCAGGATCATGACCTGAGTCGAAGGCAGTCGCTTAACAAACTGAGCCACCCAGGCGCCCTATTTTAAATTTTCTTTAAGGATTTTATTTCTTTGACAGGAGGAGAGAGAGAGAGATAGCACAAGCAGGGGTTGCAGCAGGCAGAGGGAGAGGGAGAAGCAGGCTCCCCGCCGAGCAGGGAGCCTGATACGGGGCTCGATCCCAGGACCCTGGGATCATGACCCGAGCCGAAGGCAGACACCCAACTAACTGACCCTCCCAGGCGCCCCTAATATTTTATTTTTAAGTAATCTCTACACCCAGCGTGGGGCTCGAACTTACAACCCCGAGATCAAGAGTCACATGCTCGACAGACTGAGCCAGCTGGGCGCCCTTCTTTGTTTTTCTCATCATTCACAGCCGTACACCAACACGAGACGCCCCCCATGGATTTGTTTCTATACTCAACAATAGGATTCAATCCAAAAATTGGAATGTTTCGTGAGCCCTCAGGCCTTTTAAAGGCTGGCCTTAGCTTTGCAAACGGTGCCTCCCACCCGAGGGGAGCCCGTGTAGCCTCCCCAGGGAGAGCTCTGTGTTCTCTTCCTGCACCCACCGTTTCCCTTCTTAATTCTGGCAGACGGAGTGTTGGAAGCACCTCCTCATTGAACTTCTCACTGGCTGTGAGAACAGCCACCTGAGCCACCCAAGTCCAGCTTGGCGATGGTTTGCTTGGCAGCTTGTCACTACAAACAACAGATGGGCCCTTCCCAGTGACGGGAAGCTCCTTGAACGCACTGAGGCAGCAAAACAAAACTGTATTTTCTTCTCTGAACAAGCCTTGATGTTTAGAACTTGAACAGGTTGAGGCAGAAATATTGGAAGCTTACCCATAAAAACAAGGGAAAACGAGGAAGGATTGGATGAAGAAGAAAGCTTTGAATTAACTGAAACTGAATGAGAAGTCAAGGTCTGATATATAGATGGTAGTTCCTGATTGTAGCTACAAAAAACAAAAAACAAAAAACCACACCAAA